TCTCGGCGCAGCACCATCTGCAGCTCAACGCCTTAATGTGCGCCCGGTAAAAGTAAAGCCATTCATGAAAGGCAAATCAAATGGAAAGGCACTGACACGAACACTCAAAGGTTAAATTTGCGAGTCAAATTCACCCGTTTGCCACCGCGCTCCCTGGTAAACAGATTGTAGAGATGAGCTCTTGACTGGCATTTTCTTCTCTGTGCAGGGTCTCAGGCTCACAGCAGGAGAATAGACAGTGCTGTTTAGGGATGACGCTCGTGACATGGCTATATTAGGTGATGATTTTTACCAGCGCTTTTGAAAAGGCTTCACTTTTCCAGCCGTGTTTAGTCTGTAGGAAGTAGTTTCACTGTGTATCTGCAGCAGACTGTCAGCTATTTCATGTGACATCACCCGTGAGGTCACATGACTTTGTAGATGAAGAGAACATGTATCCTCACATATGTTACAGGTGTTAGCCATGCAGAAAAATCTCTATTCAGCTCCAGTTATTTCTCCTAAAGCATCAAACGAAGACGCTTTTATTCCCCCTTTGTTTTTAAAAGATCACGGGCAAATTAATTCCAGTCACACCTAGCCAGTTGTCAAAGAAACAGCACAGTTTATAGCAGCGCATAAACACAAACAAAATAAGCACTGGGAAAGTCTGTGTTTATCTCATTATTGGTAAACTCATCACAACCGTTAAAAATGAACAATAAATACCGCGATGAGAGTAACAAAGACACAAACATGCTGAATATAGTACGCCATAACTTTTGGGAACGACCAGTTTCGTCGGGTCGGCTGTTGGCCTCCGTTTCAGTTTGAAAAACTCTCAGAGCAAAGCTGTGATATGTGATCCATGTCATGGCTGAGCCTCATCACACACTGGATGAGTGAGAAATAAATCTGAATTTAAAGTCAGTGTCCTGCAGCTTTTCTAACAGGGCATAAGGATAACACATAATATTTATAGCAATCTTTGATCAGATGGTAGAAACAGAAACAGAAACTGTTGCAGTCTGTGTTATTTTGGTGAATTGCATTTCCTGAATTCCGTTGAACTATGAACTGTCATGTGCTTGAAATACAAGTGGGGAAATTGATTTTCTCTTTTCAGTTGGTGACTATTTTCAATACATTTCTTGAATGAAGACCAGGTTGAAAGGCAGAATGAATCCTCTCAT